GCTAGAACTCTTATCTGGCATCTGTCTGGTACGCATCCCCCAGATTCATAGTATTTACTCCAAATTTTTTGCACTCAGCATTGAGATAGCTCATAAAGGGCATCCTACCTAAGCAACAACCATTTGAAGAAAAACATCTAATTTAAATAAACAGTTTAGAGGTAGACACTGTTTTTCCTAAACTTTATTTTTTGAATTTGCCTCTCCATGTAGAAACACTGTTGTATTAAAGGTTGTATTCTTTTTTTTATTTTTATTTTATTTTTGCTTATTTATTTTTTGACAGGCAGAGTGGACAGTGTGAGAGAGAGACAGAGAGAAAGGTCTTCCTTTACCATTGGTTCACCCTCCAATGGCCGCCGCGCTGATCCAAAGCCAGGAGCCAGGTGCCTCTCCTGGTCTCCCATGCAGGTGCAGGGCCCAAGGACTTGGGCCATCCTCCACTGCACTCCCGGGCCACAGCAGAGAGCTGGCCTGGAAGAGGAGCAACCGGGACAGAACCCAGCACCCCGACCGGAACTAGAACCCGGTGTGCTGGCGCCGCAGGCAGAGGATTAGCCTATTGAGCCACGGCACCGGCCAAGGTTGTGTTCTTGATTAAGGTATGTCCTTAGGTGAATCAAAGATACATGTAATGAAAGACTATAGTAATGCTCAACTTCTTCTAAGTTATCCTCTGGTCAACCTAACACCATCCTGTAGGGAAAAGACATGGTGATATAGTTGTTGATCTTGCTGTGTGAATGCCTGAGCCTTTGGCCACCAACATGGCATACTGTGGTCAGCATTGATCTTTCTCCTGGGACTTTGCCCAGATGTGCCAGTGCCCACTGGAATGACACTGGCTTTCAGACATATGGTGGAGTTAGATGATTCAACTAATACGTATGGAGCATTTACTGTGGCACAGAAGGTCATCTCAGTTAAGGGAGACAGTATTCACTTATTAAACCTTCTCTTCACGCCCCCTCTGCATAATCCCTTCTAGTACTGTTTACCATAAATCTCACCTATCAGTGTTTCACTTTGGAGCCTTGAGGAACCTGAATTCTATACTCAGTGCTCTTCACCTATTCCTTTATCCCTACACGCACACCTGTTTATTTCCTCATATCATTATGCATAAGTCCCTATTAGGTTGTAATTTCACCACCACTGTCACTCTCTACCTGTATTAGTTTGCAAACATTGTTGTAACAAAGTACCACAAGCTGTACTGCTTAAACAACAGAAATGTGTTGTCTTCTGCTGGAGGCTGGAAGTCAAGGATCAAGGTGTCAGTAGAGTCATGCTCACGCCAAAGGCACTAAGTAAGCATCTATTCCATGCCCCTCTGCTAGCTCTCTCACTAGTTTGCCAGAAATCGTTGGCATTCCTTGACTATGGCAGCACAACCATAGTCTTCACATGGCATTCTCCCTGTGTGTTTGCCTCTGGGTCCAAATTTCCACCTTTTTATAAGGATGCCAATAAGAGTAGATTGGGGGGTAGGGTGTTCTACCCTTCTCTGGTATAATGTCAACTTAATTTAAATCTGAAATTGTCCTAGTTCTAATTAAGGTCACAGAAGTACTGATGGTTCAGGCTTTAACATATTAATTTTGAGGGACATGATTGAACCCATAACACTACCATAAGATGTTTGCAAAAATTAGGTCCTTGATACAATTTTTAAAAGAAGGGCAGCAGGGCAGCAGTACTATTTTGGTAAATAAATTATAGTATATGATATGCTATTTTTGATATTTTAACTTAGGAAATTTTGGAACATATACAAAAATAGGCTCAATGACATAAGGAACCCCCATATTTTTATTTCCAAGTTTTAATAATTATCAATCTTATTTCATTGTATGTGTATAAACTATAGCATTTAAAATAATTGACATGATCTTTTATTCATGTAACAACTGTAAAAGTTAGTTTATGTAGTTTTATAGTAAAATTGTGTTACTAACAAATTGCTATTTTTATATAAATACCAATTTTCAAGATAGTGAGGGGAGGAAAATAAGAAAGGATGATGGTATGCCTCCATGAATGTTTTATTGAGTTTCTGTGTATTCTGAATCATTAATAAAAGGAAAGGAAGGAACACTTGCATGTTACATCTTTAGCTCTTATTCAAACTGAATGAAATTATTTTGCAAGAAAATTGTGAGGATAAATTGCCAATTTCTACTTTTTCTAGAAAGAATAACCTTGTTCCCAACCAATTCTATAAAAGTGAGATTTTTACTGAACTACCTCTAACATCACATTTTGTACATAATAGCTGCAAATGTCTAAATTTTTTTTAAAAAATATACTTTTGAATAAGTCTAGGCTGATAGTGATCTTTGTAAAGGATCCAGACGCATGAAAATAAAACAAAATGAGCTGTTTAATTTGTGGTTTAGATGTCATTTTTGACAGTTATCAATGAAATTGTCATGTATCCCAGGAATCTGAAGCTATTAGAATATTTAACTTGACATCATTCTTTTACATAATTGTGTCTGGTAGTTTAGCAGAGTATTCATGTTCACATGCATGTGGCTATTGATTGTCAACACTTTCACGTTGCATTATTCCATGCATACAAATTAGTTCTGGGTATAGATTTTTTCTTGATTTCCTTCCTCCTTGACTATCAAGGATGTCACCAAATGCTCAGCGAAGGTTGTTTTAGTCATACTAGCAAAACCCCAGGCCCATATGTCACATGTGCTTAGTTCAGAATACAGTGCCCTGATGGTGATGGAATCTTCCTGCGGCAGAAGTTACAGTAGCATATTACTCATCAAGGCAAATGTAAATGTTTAGTGATTATATGATAGGTTTTGTGTTAACTCCCCAGATGGGAATTTTTTTTATGTTTGTTTATTTGAGAACAACTGAATACTGAAATGCAATAGCTCATGCCAAGGCTTCATTAGTACAGATGAAGCAATGCTCACTTTGTTACACAAATAATTAGAGAGATTAAATGAAAATAAACACTGAGAGGATGAACAGAAGCTCTGAAGATAGGTAATTATTTTAATTACTCTAGTGACTTCCACCAACCTTCATTATCAGCCACAGACCAAGTTTAAATTTTTTAATGTAAGAATATCACAAGCTATATGGAAAAGTACTATAGCTATCCAGTGATTATGCTTCATAACATGACATTTTCTTCAAGTTCCATTTAAGGAACTGCTTCCATTCCAGGACCTGATAAATTCTGCATATTTTAAAAGCAGGATCATTTCTTTTTTCACTTAAGTGTTTGTTTACCCTGGTTTTGAGCTTCAAATGGACATCCTTAGTAATGACTTTTATATATTTTTCTCTTCACTCAGATTTAGGGCCACACTTCTGGGTCAGTGAATGTAAAACAATATGGCATATTCAGCCATTTGAAATAAGTGTCAGTTGGAATCATATCATCACTCTGACAAGCTGTACCTTGTATTTGGGGTGAATTAATCTCTTCTTCCCCACCAACTTGGAAGATTCTAGCATACACAGTACAGAGATGAGCTTCCCTATAAGTTGGGAGCTCTACTGAAATGCATTGGCAGTTCTGTTTCAAAGAGACATTATTTTGTATTCAAGTGATAATTAGGATTCATCAAGGCCACCTATGTTAAGATATTCTCCTGAATGAAGTGGCATGTAGCAATGCCATCTCACTAGTCCAAGTGATCAATTTCTGTTCACAATTGATCATAATGATAGGACTAAGAGTCAAAGGGATCACATAAACAAGACTAGTGTCTGCAAATACTAACCGATAGAATAAAAAAGGGAGAGAATGCTCCAACATGGGAAGCCAGATACACAGCAGACTCATAGAATGACGGATATCCTAAACAGCACTCTGGCCTCAGAATCATCCCTAAAGGCATTCGGACCCGGCTGAAAAGCCCATGAGAGTATTTCAGGCATGGAAAGCCAAGACACTCTGGCCAAAAAAAAAAAAAAAAACCTAAATGAAAGATCTCCGTGAGTGAGATCCCAGTGGAAAGAACAGGTCATCAAAGAAGGAGGCACCTTTCTCTGAAGGGAGGAGAGAACTTCCACTCTGACAACGACCTTGTCTAAATATGATCAGAGTCGGTGAACTCAAAAGGCTTCCATAGCCTTGGCAACTCATGACAAGAGCCTAGGGTGATTACTGAGGCCATAAGCAAGAGTGTCAATTTGTTAAGTCAACAACAGAAGTCACTGTGCACTTACTCCTCATGTAGGATCTTTGTCCTTAATGTGCTGTACATTCTGATTTAATGCTATAACCAGTACTCAAACAGTATTTTTCATTTTGTGTTTCTATGTGGGTGCAAACTGTTGAAATCTTTACTTAATATATGCTAAACTGATCTTCTGTATATAAAGAGAATTGAAAATGAATCTTGATGTGAATGGAAGGGGAGAGGGAGCGGGAAAGGTGAGGGTTGTGGGTGGGAGAGAAGTTGGGGGGGGAAGCCATTGTAATCCATAAGTTGTACTTTGGAAATTTATATTCATTAAATCAAAGTTAAAAAAAAGATATTCTCTTGAATGTTACTTAAATACCATTTATGGACTACCTGCATAATACCAAATCTTCTAATACTTTGCCTGACGTATTTCATTGAATGCATACAAGATTCCCATGGAGTATGTATTAGCTCAATTTTCCAAAAGAGGAAACAGGCTTAGAAAGCCTGCACAAAGAAAGTAGCCTGGCTCAGGTCTGCCTGACTCCACGAATCACATGCTCACTAGCAGATCACAGCATGAGGCAAACGTGGGTGCAAATGTAAGGACAGTGGGAAAACTGAAGGGACAGTCCTTGGTATGCTAGATAAGCATTGTGTTGTAAGGCATTGGTGAATTCTGGGCAACAGTTAAAGCCTCAAATTCCAAATCTGATTGGTTTTGAAGTATTCCGTGTCTGAACAAATGGCCCTGGTTCCTGGAGAAGACAATTAGGTTGTAGGTTTTATGGATAGTTGTAACTAGCAGGAGGATTTAAAAACACAATTCAGTAGCCACTTGAGGTTTATTCCAGACAACACAAGGCATTTCTCCTCAAAATTCCAACAGATGACTTCAGGAACCTTGGTGGGTGAGGTGGAGGAGGAGACACTGGGCAAGTGTGCCCTGCTTTCTAGTATTAATTACAAGCCTCACTGACCACCCTCCCCTCCCTGTCACCCACGGTGTGGCCCACTCACCTAGACATGACCAAGATACCACTTACTGGGGTGTTTCATTAAGAGGCACAGTAGGCTATTGGAAAATAGGGAACAGGGTTTTATGGATTCACCTTTTGTTATGTTAAGGGTGCACTAACCTGCAGCTTTAATTATGAGTTGTGAGTGACCTAACTGAAGTTGGGACAGAAGGGTCTTTGGTCCTGCCAGGAGTGGGGGTTGGGTGTGGGTAGGGTGTTGGCCTGAACTTCCATCTCAGGTTTCAGAATCTGAAAGGGAAGTTTGAGAAATCAAGACCTGATCACAGGCAGGAGGTGCAAAGGTAGGGCTGGGAGAAAACAAGCATGCAGCTCACCACTGTGCTCTCAGCCGCGCGGTGGGGTAGATTTATCTGTGAGCAAACTGGGAAGGACATAACCAAGAAAGGATGGGCCTGGGGAAAGGGGTTTTCACGCTGCTTTGCAAGCACCGCCCTAGGACGTGTCTGCCAAGTGTGGCCCGTCTCCTGTCTCCTTTCTTCCTGGGACATTACAGACTCAGCCGGATCTGCTGGATAGGAGCACACCAACTGTTTGCTTGGCGTCTTCCAGACGCTGTTACCATGTGCTCCGTTTGATTTTGATGGCACCATGTTTGTGTCTAGCAAGGCCAGCCCCGCCCCGCCCCGCTGGGCTGTGTTGCGTGCGGAGAGGAAGCCAGGGGCTATGTACTAAGGAGACCAATGTCCTTTGGACCCTCGGCGCTTGCCACCGACCTCGAAGAAATCCCTTTGAACTCCAAGCTTCTCAGACCTCCTTCAAAGGATCACTGGGAGGGTCAAACGGGCTAATTCCCGTGACAGCCAACTGAGAGGGACCGCGACTCCAAATTGCTGAAGAAAAATAAGTTAAACGTACTCAGCTGGAGTTTTAAAAATCCCCCCGCCCCCGCCCTAGCTGCGGTCAGGCCGGCGACCCCTCTCCACCTCGGTGGCTGTCTGTGGACTCCTGCCTTGGCAAGAGCCGGTTTTGTCGCCGCTGCTCCGCCCTCTCCGACCCCGCGGCTGGGAGCTCGAGGACCGATCCCGCCTCTCTCCTCCCACTCCTCACCCGGGGTCTCCAGAGTTTCTCGCACGTTGAATGGGATTTTCGCGGCTGATCTCTAAAGACCTTGCAGTGTGACAGGCAGCTGAGCGCGCGGCCCGGCGGGGACCGTCCTCCCGCCCTCCCTCCCTCCCTCCCTCCGCGGTGCGGTGCGGTGCGGTGCGGTGCGCGGTGCAGCGGCCGCCTCCCCGGCCAGCTCGCGGGGCCGTCCGCGCAGAGCCGGCGCAGAGCGGGCCCCCTCCCTCCCCTCTCCGCCAGTAGCCGTGCCGCTGCCTTTCCCACCGGAGCGCTGCGAGGACGCTGGAGCCTGCAGCGCCCCCGCCCCTTCGCTTTTTCTTTCTTTCCGGGCTTTGGGATCTTGCTGCCGGAGCCGGGAGAGCGTCTGAGGAGAGAAGAGCGAGGGACAGGAGCGCAGGACTCGGAACTGAGCTTGGGCACAACAGCCCCGCGTCCCCTCCAGGTGATCGGCGCCTCTCACCTGGGATGTGAAGGAGGCAAGCCCCGACGCTGCCGGCCGTCCCCCGGAAAGGTGTCCCAGAGAGCGTCCCGGGGGCCAGCGGCTGGAGCCCCCTGGTCCACAGCACCGCGGGGCGCGAGCTTCGAGGCGCACCCCGTGCCGGCTCCCACTTCGGAAAAAGCGCCGCGAGGACCTACGCTGTCGCCGCACAACTCCGGGGCCAGCAGCGCGCCGCTGCATCGAGTTCTGCCTCCCGCCGGCTCCCCCGGAGAGCGGGACACCGCGTGGTGCCCACCGGCACTCCACGCAGCGTGGCTTCTGCGCACCTGCGCCGAGCCCCGGCGCCCAGGTGGTGAGCCAGCGAGGCTCCGGGTCCTCTGCCGCGCGCCCCCCCCCCCACCCACCCACCCCTGGCTCCATGGAAAGCGCGCTGGCCAGCGCCGCTCCCTGAGTCCGGGCGCAGCCGCCGTCCAAGCTGCACACTGGAGTTCCAAGGCTCGCCCCTCTCTGGGGCATCTGGGAAGCGCGCACCATGAAGTCCGTGCTGTTCAGTCGCTTCTTCATCCTCCTGCCCTGGATCCTAATCGTCATCATCATGCTCGACGTGGACACGCGCAGACCCGCGCCCCCGCTCACCCCGCGCCCGTACTTCTCTCCTTACGCGTTGGGCCGCGGGAGCGCCCGCCTCCCGCTCCGCAGGGGCGGCCCGGGGCGCAGCCCGGAGAAGCGCAATGAGTCTCGGGCCCAGCCGCCGCCCCAGCCGCAGCTGCCCACCATCTATGCCATCACGCCCACCTACAGCCGCCCGGTGCAGAAAGCCGAGCTGACCCGCCTGGCCAACACCTTCCGCCAGGTGGCGCAGCTGCATTGGATCCTGGTGGAGGACGCCACGGCGCGCAGCGAGCTGGTGAGCCGCTTCCTGGCGCGGGCCGGGCTGCCCAGCACGCACCTGCACGTGCCCACGCCGCGGCGCTACAAGCGGCCTGGGCTGCCGCGCGCCACGGAGCAGCGCAACGCCGGCCTCGCGTGGCTGCGCCAGAGGCATCAGCACCAGCGCGCACAGCCCGGCGTACTGTTCTTCGCCGACGACGACAACACCTACAGCCTGGAGCTTTTCCAGGAGGTAGCAGCCGGCCCCATACACCTGGGAGTTGGGGGTGGGAGGGTGGGAGGCGTGGCGGGAGAGGGTCTCGGGCCGGCAGGGTAGCGGGGGAAGCCGCACTCGGGTCCCCTTTTGCGTTGGCTGCACTTTGGAGTTCTCAGTTCTCTGTGCGTGCCTTCGGGACTCGCGTGGAGCCGCTCCTCGCCTGAGGTGCAGGAGGTGTGGGAAGGAGTAAGAAGGTCAATGTAGCTCAAGGGAAGGAGTGGGTCCCGGACGTTTGCTGTCTCGAGGCTCGGCGTGGGGACCTGCTCGGACCGATCTAAATGTGGAGCACCAGGCAGGGAGGGGCCGGCACAGGAAGGGAATGGCTGGGCTTGTGCTTAGATGCCCCTTGGCGTATACAGGTGTGCGTCTCACCTGGAGAGGGAGAGACGAAAAATCAGCCTGCAGACTAGTTTCTCTCCTGCAACCCTCTGCTTGGAAATGATTGTTAGTGAAAGCATGGACGTGTCTGGTGGTCTGGCCTCCATCTCTCTCCTACACACCGGAGAAAGGTCTGTTTGAGACTCAGAGTCCCTCTGACTCTCAAGAAAACCCTGCCCCATTATGTTTCCGCGCCGCCCGAGGTATCATCTGGGCTGCCCGCTTTCTTTCCTCCACCTTTCTCCCAGGCCTCCCCGTGGCAAGTAAGCCACTGGCCGCTGCGGGGGCCGCTGAGTCCCGGTGCTGTGGGTGGGGTCCCCCTGCTGCCGAGGCGGCCTGGGCAGGCAGCCGACTGGCACCGTGTGGCGGTGGGGGTGTATGTGTGTGTAGTCTGCCGATGAGGCTGGGTTGCGTGGTTTTGTCGATTTTTCTTCTCAATTAGAGCTAAATGAACTCCTGATCTCCTTGACCTCCCACGAGATCATTGCTTTCCTCCACCTGAAATTCTTGGCCATCCTGCCTCTGAGATCCACTGCCCCGCCTCCTAATCTGGGCGTTGAGAAAACACTGAGCGAGACGCGGTGAACTCCTAAAAGACGCTGCGTGTCTAGGAAGCAGCTGGTCTGCGCACACACGCACACATGCCGCTACACACACTTTCATCTTGATCGCTCCATTTTGCTTTCTTAACCTCAGGCAGACCTATTCTGGATCCTTCCAGGTTAATTTTTCTATCTGGCTTGTAAAAATCCATTTCTTAGAGATAATTGCCGACTTCTTCACCTTCATCAATAAAAGAAGCAATCGTTTTCCATCTTCTCCCTCCTTTCCCCATGTAGCAAGAGAAATAAATGAGCTCGCCATGGTATAGATGGCCTTTATTATCACCCAGGTTAAAGATACCATCTGATTTTGAACTTGGACTTTTATTTTCTCCACTAAGGAGGGGCTTATATTCTGAAGCAAAGGCCTTTAATTTCAGTGTCCGTAGTTTTAAAACCCCAGTGTCTTTCCCCACCTGTCTTCCTGTACGAATTAGAAATTGCCTCACCTGTGAAACATGTGGCCCCGCAGAGGGAAAAGAGCACACTTGAGCTTAGGTAGTCTTGTTGGCGCTGGATTGAAGCAGGAATGATTCCACCGTCCCCGGCTGCTGGCCTGTTGGCAGGAGGTGTCAGATGGTGGAAGGGTGGGCACATGCAGGTGCTGGACCGACTCAGTCTTCCTTTGATACTTCCCAAACTGAACACAGGGCTTGTTGGTGTAGGAGAAAAAAAGAGGTTTTTTTGTTTGTTTGTTTGTCCACAGTTTGAAGGGAACAAGATGAAGAGGAGAGGGCAGAAGGAAAAATAGTCTTGGCACGATGGAAATTATAAAGAAAAATGCAGGAGAAACTTCCAAGACACTAAAATTGTGTATGATTGGAAATAAAATTATCTTAAAGTGAGTGTGTGCACCCACCTATTGTTCATGGAGAAGTACAAAGCATACAGGGTTTTTTGTTTTTAAATTTAATGTGTATGGCACACTTAGAATTTGACTTCTGTATCTCCTGGGTGTTACTCTCAGACAGAAATCTTAGGGCTAGCACCTTCCTTCCCCCCGCTGACAGATGTTTCTGACAGATCAGACCTCTGTTTGCCAATTACATGTGTGGTTGTACATGCAGTCTTCCTTATTGAAATTCCTCTCCTCCCCTCCCAACCTTCAATGGCAAGCCCCACTGAATTCATTAATTAATGAAATTTAAAAAAAAATTTATTTATTTGAAAGAAATCTCCCATCTGCTGGTTCACTCCCCAAATGTCCACAACAGTGGGGCTGGGTCAGGCCAAAGCCAGGGGCCCTGAACTCAGTCTGGGTCTCCCACATGGGTGGCAGGGACCCAGGTCCTTAAGCATTACCTGCTGCCTTCCAGGGAGTGCACCAGCAGAAAGCTAGAATACGAGCAGAGCCTGGGCTCAAACCCAATGCTCTGATATGGGATATGGGCTTTCCTAGCACCATCACAACCACTGCACCAAATGTCTGCTCCCGAGATTGGTGAAACTTCTGCAATTTTAAACTTGTGTACTTTCCATAATTTAAAATTTAGTTTCCTTAAGATTATTGAAAAAAAGGGAGTGACAAAGAGATCTTCCATTCTTTGTTTCACTCTCCAAATGGCCACAACAGCAGTGCTGGGGCAGGCTGAAGCCAGGAGCTTCTCCCAGGTCTCCCAGGTGGGTGCAGGAGACCAAGCACTTGGGCCATCTTCTACTGCTTTCCCGGATCAGTAGCAAGGAGCTTGATCAGAAGTGGAGCAGCTGGGACTCCAACTGGTGTCCATATGGGATGCCAGCATTACAATGGTGGCTTTACCGGCTGGCCCTAGTTTCCTTTCCATCTTTAGGTTATTCATGGGGTGATGGGCCATACGTGCATACTGGTGCTTGGATGATTCCATGTGGATTACAATGTAGTCACTGTCCTTGGAGGAAAGGGAGGACCAGATGAAACTTTTAAAACCTGCAGCTTCTGGGGGGAAAGCAAAGATGCTGATGAGGGATGCGGTAGGCCTGAGGCGTGCTCATCTATCTCAGCCCTTTATATTGTGCATGCACACAAATTAGTTCTTAAGTAATTCACAGTACTAAAGAATGTCCCAAGTCAGGCTTCATTTTTTATTCATAGTGCTTCTAATTTCCATGGTTGATGTTAAAAGTAGATAAGATAAAAGGAAAAATGAACCAGGTACAAATTAGCTCACTAAGTATTGGCTGCAAATGAAGGCAAGTAAAGGATGAAAGGTCTCCAAATTAAATTAAAGACACAACAGGCAATCTGTGTTTAATTATTCCTTCCTGGTAACTGGAATGGTGCATTTTGCTCCCATACAGCTAACTAATTTTCAGCCTCCTTTTTCAACTGAACTCTGCTGCCAGGAAAGAAATGTTTGCACTGAACAATCCTGTATTAACAGCCAAGTCCATTTGCAAGGGAAGCTGAGTGTGAGCCCCAGAAACTGGGCTGGCCCTTGGAGGAGATGGTAGGGGTTTTTGCAGCTTTCCAGTACCTCAGCAACTCCTGTTTTTCCTGTGGCACTGATGGGGTTATGCACTAGGAATCACAGGTGATCCTGCCTGCCTGCCTGCCTGCCTGCCTGTACACCCAATCGATCTAGCTCCCTGGAAAAGCTTATTTGCAAAGGAGTTAGGCTGCTTTAATAAAAGCCACAGCTACAGATAAATGTGACTTGCTCTCTCATCGTATTTTCAATAACACTATTGATCAGCCTTCTGTTCTTCACTAGAAAACCTTCAAAGATTTCCTCAAAGTGGGTGCTTTTCAGGTGAAGTTCGTTTCACCTTTGGAAATCAATTGCATTGAAAGGTTAAAAAAATAGCACTTTCCAAGCAAGGGGGGAAAAAAAGCTTTACATTTTTTAACCTGAAATTTAATGAGGTACGACTGGAAGACAGGCCAGCACTGAGATACTTGTGGGGCTAGTGAAAGGAACAAAGAAATCTTCATCTCGAAGATGTTTCTGGAAAGCAGTGAGGTGCAGGGGCCCCTTGTTTGACTTTTTCTGTTGCACATTCTCAAGCTTCTGTGTGCTAGGCAAGGTAGAGTTGAAGTTTATTTCTGTCTTGCTGCTTTTCTGAAGCCTTCCTGTGCTTCCCCCTTTACGTACGGCTTATTGGAGCCATACCCAATGGATACTTGGGTTCACAGTGGTTGGCACTTTTCCCCCTCAATAGTAACTCTGTAAAGCTTTCCTGAAAGAAGACTTATGCTTACCTATTTTACACCCTTCTACAATTACTTGCTTTAATTATCTTTTTAAATTTAAGAGACCTAGGAGATTCCCTTCAATGTAGCATAAAAATTTTATTTTACCTGAAATGTGCCCCTTAGGTCTTATTTCTCCCCTTCTGGAAATATATTAATGGTCATGCCGTAGGTCTGATAAAATGTGAGACTTTTATAAAAATATGTATATAAAACTATAGCCAATTTCCCTAGGCTATAAATGTTAAATCTATAGATTACTTTTCCTGAATGTACAGTACTTGACAGAGACCTTTGGAGACGAGCAGTTTTTGTTTGGGCTTTGATGTTTTAATGGGCCAGAAATAACAATTTGGCTTTAAAAGACCTTCTCCCTTTTGCCTTTTCCTATTGTCTTTTCTCATTGGTCTGCCTCCCTCCACCTACTTTTTCTGATATTATTTCAGGAATAGACATACAAATATGTTCAGATTATTGTTTGGTGTGATGAAAGTTATGTCTTTACCATTTAGGCTGTTGTTTGCTTCTTTCTCAAAACTATAGTAGGTGGCTCCATTTTCTTCTGTCTTCTCCGTTTCCAAATTACAGGCTGGTAAATTTTCTCCTGTGTGAACAGTAATGGAATAGTAATTGCTTTTAAGGCCTGCTGCAAAAGCAAAATAGAAGAAGTGAAGTCAACCATCTTCTTTACTAAGTGTTCCAGGTGGTATTCAGGTTGTGCATTGTATTGCATGGAACTCAAAAATGCTCAGAAATATCTATTCCAAATCTTTTGGACTGTGGTGGAATGTTCACTCATGCTCAGTCTGTGTAAGTTAACACATTAT